TGGGTCATGTTGCAAGATGCCATTGCCAATAAAAGGAGGGTTCCACTGTCCTCTTTCTTCCAGAGAGAGAAATCCCTTCCCCCATCCCCACTGGACTGTGAAAGAGCTGGCTTTCTTCTCAACTGCCAGGGATGATTCCCCTAATAGGCTTGCTTATTCTCCTTAAGGCAACCAGGGTCATGGCTGATCGATCCTTCAGCTATCTAGCTAATGTCTAGCTGTTCTATAATTCAATCAAATTAATTGAGGAACTTGTTGATCTCTCTTACAAGTGTAAAGAAGTATAAGCACTTCATTATACCCCTTTATATGAGTGGTATTTTCCCTTTTCACCTACATAACACACCTGGTACTAATGCATTAGAAGCCAAATGATAAAGTTCCATTATCACCAATGATAATAATACACCACTATAGAAACACTGACAAATTTATTCCATTTCACATCTATTTATGAATCTTTTTCTTCCTTTCCCACAGCAGCTGTGGGAAGACAGACTATTTCATTTTTCATCTTTCATCTTCATCTACAAATGATCTTGAGACAAACTGATTTACATGGGTACTTTTTCAACTACATCACAAAGAATCAGAGACACATAGACTTTCTATATATATGTATGTAGGCATATATATATACATACACATACACACATATTTGTGCAGTTTTCTAAGTTAATATGCAGCTTGTAGGGATTTTTATACATAGCCCAGCATCCCCAGTTTCTGTTTGAGTTTGGCATCACTGATTTAAACCAACCCTGAACAAGAGTCCCCACTAAAACATACCTAGCAGGTGGCCAACCCGACTTTACTCAAAGACTTCCAGTGAGAAAGTCCACTTCCTTCCAAGGCAAGCCATTCCATTTTTATATAGCTCTAATCATTAGGAAGTTTTTCCTTACATCAAATCTATTTGCCTCTTTGCAATTCTCACTCATTGCACCCAATTCTGCTTTCTGGGACCAGTCTGAACAAGTCAAATCCTTCTTCCATGTATCTCACCATCTCCCTCAGTGCCATATGTATAGTATAGGCACTTAACAAATATGTTGATTTGAGTTGGATCTAGTCCACATCTCTTTTACAACAATAGCATGGAAGATTTTGTCAATTGCTTCACTAAAATCTAGATAAATGTGGGTAGATAGACTAGATAAATAAGGTCTAGAAACAAATGAACAGAACAGTCTAGTGATTGATAAACCCAATACTATATATAAGCTACTGAGAGGGAATTCTCTATTTCATGAAAAGAACTGAGAGAACAGGAAATTGGTATGGGAGAAAATAGGTTTTGACTAGCATTTACTCTTTATACCACAGGATCCAAATGGAAGTAAATAGAAAAGGCTGCATTATAAAAAGATTTTAGGATAATGGAAGGAAGGAAGTACCTTTGACCATTCTTAGGAGGAGAATTCATAATCAACCAAAGGAATAGGGGAGATCACAAAAAACAAAATTGTCCATTTCAATGATATAAAAGCCAAAAGTTTTTGCCAGACAAAATCAATTTAGCTAGAATAAGAAGAGAAGCTATTGAGTGGGGAGAAATCTTTGAAGTATATCCAAGATATATTGGAAACTGATTCAAATATATAAGGCTGCAAATCATTCTCTAATAAATAGTGGCCAAAAATTATGAACAGTTAAAAAAAGAAATAAAAAACAATCATATGAAAACAGCTCCAAAATCACTAAAAATAAGAAAAATGTAAATCATTAAGTCTAAGGTTTCACCTCATACCCACCATATTGTCAAGGATGTTAAAAGATGTAAATTGTTAGTGTGGGAGAAAGGGGCTGTGGGAAGATAGCATATTTCTTACAATAATCCTGTTATACAGTTTTGGTGAAATTACAAATTCACCCAACTGTTCTGCAAAACAACTTGGAATGATAAAAATTATTAAACCATTCATGACCTTTTGACTCAGCAATCCTGCTACTAGATAAACCCCTTTTAGGAGGTTAACAGCAGGAACAAGAGTTCTAATATTATTCCAAAAGTATTGAACATAGCACTTCTATAGTAGAAAAGCTAGAAATAAAGTGGGTACCCATCAATTAGGTTACAGCTGAGCAATTGTGGTACATGAATTCATGGAACATTATTGTACCTTAAGAAATGATGAATATGAGGAATTCAGAGAAATATATATGGGAAGACTTCTATGATGTGATAATGAAGAAAGTAGAACCAAAAGAACAATATATACAGTGACTACAATAATGTAGATTAAAATAACACAAAATTATGTAAGAATGCAAATTGCAACAATAAATCTAGGTTCCAGAGGACTGATGATGAAACACATTTCCTTCCTCTCATTGGAGAGGTTGTGGCCTACAGATGTCAAACATTGCATGCTTGTAGATTAAAAAATGTTTGTTGATGATGCTGTCTCTTGGTTTTGCTTACCTGTTTGAAGGAAGGTAATACTGTAAGAGTGGTTATTAGGAAGTGACTGTGGTTTAAAAAAAAATATATAAGTAAAACATTTAAAAATATATAAAAGTTTAGCCTATGGTGAATTATATCTATACTTTCCCCCTGATTTCCAGTCTAATAACCCTATTTAAAAAAGAATATAAGGTTACTTATTATTATGATTTATTCTTTTTCTGTTGTGGTCTGTTATTTATTTCTCATCTATATTAAGTATTTTTAATAGTTACATACTATTTTATATATAAGTGATTTTTTTTAGTGTACTTTACCTTTCTTTGGCAATAATGGTCAATAATAATACAATGCAATAATAATATAGATGTTTATTCCAAACTCTATTTTAGTTATTTCTATTATAGCCAAAAAATATTATATATCTTATTCTTATGTCATAATATTAAGTTTTAACTGAAAGTAATCAGGCTTAGGGTATATATACTATTATTTTTATAAACCAATCATCATTCAGTCAGTTTGAATTTCCTCTTCAAATGCTCATAGAAATTTCTCTAGTGGTAGATTTTTGTTGGGAATTCTTTGAGGTTTTGTTTATCATTGAAATGAGATCTTCTGTTTTCAAACAAAATGGCTATTTTTGGAAGGTTGGCAAGTTGGTGGTCCAATCTTATTTTTGCAGGATTTTTGTCCCACTTTGACATTTTTTCCTTTGTTGCTTTAGAAAAGTCCACTGTTACTTTTATTGTTGTTGTTTAAATCTGACTTATTTTTTTTTCTTTCTTGAAACTTGGATATTTTTTTGTTGTCTTTATAATTCTCATAATATGCCCTACTGAATTAAAGTTAGAACTTTTTTTATCGTGTACTATGAATTTTCTCTACTTGTAGAACATTTCCTGATCTAATCCATTGTAGAAAAATTCCTCTAATGAGGTCCTCAAAAATATATTTTTTTATTTTTTGCTTTGACCTACAAATCTGTTTTGTCCAGAATGCTCAGTAAGTACTTTTTTTCAGGTTATTGCTTCCTAGAATCTATTCTTTTTTAAAAATTATCCTGCATTAATCTTTGTTCAATTTTGTTGTCTCTTAAGAATTTTGGAATTGATTGCATGACATGGGAGACACCAACACAGAACCGCCAGACGTGGCGTGCCCTCCTCAGAGAAGGTGCTGTGCTGTATGAGCAAAGCAGAATTGAAGTAGCTAAAAGGAAATGCAAGGCACGCAAATTTAGAGAATCCACCCTAAATGTTCACATGGACTATTTGTGCCTGACCTGTGGTAGAGCGTTCTGAGCTCATATTGGTCTGATCGGCCACAGTTAGACACAATGTAACTTGACTCTATCATAGTGATGTCATTTTGGTACTCTTTGAGAATGAAGGACGTGTGTGTGTGTGTGTGTGTGTGTGTGTGTGTGTGTGTGTGTGTGTCTGTTATTACCTGCTTCCATGGATGAGTTAAACCCAGGAAATAGTTTTGTAGTTTTCCTAGTTATGCTTTGTCGTGTGTGTGTGTGTGTGTGTGTGTGTGTGTGTGTTTATTTACCTTAAAGTTCTTCTCTAATTCCTAAAATGTATTTATCGCCATAAGTAATGGTTAACAACTACATTAGCTTGAAATCACAGTAAGAGTTCAGTGCTCTCCGGAATGCCAGGCGGGACTCTGGGTTGGGTCTCCACCACCATATCGGCCTTCTCAGGTGTAGAACTGGACTGCAAAGAATTTTCTTATTGCTGAGAAGATGGAGTGTGGCTGAACAATAGCTTTTGGCTACTGAATATGTGGGAATTTTTTTTGGTGGCTTGGGGGCATGGAGCTTAGAAGGAGAGTCCCCACCCACTGTGGGTAGGTAAAGTGAACCAGGCATTTCTTAGATAGACTTCAATTAGCAGTGGAGTAGATGAGGTCAGGGGCTACTCTTTCACTTAATCCTAATTGCTCCTGAAGGGCAGAAGACAGTTCCTCAAGGCCTCAGACTAGACCCTGGCCTTGTAAACCAGACTCCAAAAGGCTCTAATGCATAGGTATATCCAGAAGTCATTGCTTTAAACCTAAAGAGCTTGGGTCAGTGGAGGGTGGGGAATGGAAAAGAGAAACCCTATATCCCTAACCTAGTGAAACCCGAGGTGTGTGTGAGGGACCTAGGCAAGCAATGAAAGCATCAGGTCTAACTCAGCATTGGATCTGAGATTCTAGAACTACAGGCCCCTGGAGCTCCCTGGCCAGCTGGTATATTTATCATTTCTCCCCATCTCTGGATGGTTCTCTCAACTTTCTTTTTTATGTTTTTCTTCTTCCTTTTTCCTTCTTTTTTCTTGGGAGAATGGGGTGGGGAGAGTAGGAGAGGGAGTAATGTTCCATGGTCAGAGAGTGGCTTTCTTATTGCTCTTATTGGAGGTATGGGCATGACTCATTCTTAACGAAATCATGCTGGTTCGTTGTGATCATTGCTTCCTTTTCCAGATGCCTATGAACTACAATTTTTATTATACATTCTAGAATTTTGCTAGGAACTAAAGTCAAACTCACTAACCTATAGTCTGCAGGCTGTTTTCTTCCTTTTTTTTTTTTCTTTAATCAGGACGTTTGATCTTTTACCATCCTCTATGATCTTTCAAAAGCAAAGACAATGTGTCAGCAATCCTATCTACCAGGTCCACCCAGTATCCTAGCAAGTAGTTCATCTGTGGCAGGTTGACTTGAACTCCTCAAGAGCAGGTAAGTACTCTCATTATCTCCCTACTTATCTTAGGTATCCACTCCTACCAGCCATTTATGTTCTGTCCTTCCCCTTCCAAAGATCATTCTTCTTAGCAGAGAAAACAGAAACAAAAATAAGAGTTAATCAGCTTAGACTTTTATCTGTTGCCTGTTATCAGAGTCCCATTCACCCCAAGCTGCAAGTCTGGTTCCTTCTTTGATCTAGTCTCTGCTTTGATCCTCCTCTGTACCTGATATAAGTAAGCAATCCTTTTTGTTTTCCTTAGATTTCCTGTTAGATTCAAATTACCCTAAGTTCTAGCTTTCTTGACACTGCTTGTATGCCCTTGTTTCCATCTTTGGTACATATTTTTTTAAAGATCCATGTTGGTCGATAAGCTCCTCTTCATGCTCATCAAAAATCATGTCTCTGTATTTTCAGAATTTCTCTTTTGGAGCTACTTGTTTCTCTAGGCTGGCTTCCCAGGTCAGTGGAGAGACCAGAAACCATACTGCAAAGGATTGAAAAATGATTAGGTTTGTGAGGACTTGGAGTCAGGGAGTGGAGGCAATTCTTTCTTGGGAGTTTGGCTGTGAAAGTGAGGACAGACAATAGCTTGGGGGGATGGTAGGGTCAAGTCTAGGTTTTTTAAGAGTGGGGGAAAGAGACAATATATGAGGAGATAGTGAAGATGAGAGATAAGGATTAAATGATAGGGCTAGCTCCTACAGGAAATGGGAGGGGACACCACATAGGTTTGGCTTTAGGTAGAAGGGCGGGACTCTTTTTCAGAGAGAAGAGGATGTGTGAATACATAGAATTCACTATTGGCATGACCTGGGGCAAGTAACTTCCCTTCTCTGAGCCTCAGTTTCCCTACTTATAAAATGAGACTAGACCATTTCTAGGAACATTCCCCTCCAGTGCAAAACCCAATCAAGTGACTCAGCAGTGGGAGTTCTTATACTAGAGGGTATAGGGTAACCTGGCCCCTAAGGTGTCCAGGGCTGAGAGGTTGGTTTGAAAGAACAAGAAATGGATACTTATATCAGATGAAATAATCCAATCAGCCTGCAAGGTCCTCCCATGGTAAGGGACTGCCCCTTTTGCATGTTCTGTTTATCAAAGCTGTTTTCCTTCTCCAACCTCTAGGTTTGACCCATCTCATCAATTTATCCATTTAATAATAGCTCTTATTTCTATGGTACTTAAAGACATTTGATTACAGGCAGCTAGGCAGTACCAAGGGAAAGTGCTAGATTTGGAATAAAAAAATTTGAATTGGAATCTGACTCTAGAAACTTACCAGCTAGGTGAGCCTGGGTAAGTCACTTAACCTCACAGACTCAGTTTTCTCATCTGTAAAACTGGCCCAATAATAGCATACCTCACAGAGATGTTAGGAGAATCAAATGAGATAATAATTGTAAAGCATTTTACAAAACCAATAAGGAAGAAAGAAAATGAACATTTATTAGGCGCCTGCTGTGTGTCAAGCACTGTGCTGTTATCATTATTTTTTGACAAGCAGTCTCCCCAGAAAAAGCCTGTGAAGTAGGAAGCACTATATATTTCCACTTTACAGTTGGGTAAGCTAAGGGATTGTAGAGAAATGGAGAGGCAGGAAGTGACTCATCCGAGGTCATACAGGTTGTCCTGACTGAACTGAGATTCAATCAGGCCTTTTCACTGAGCGGAGGTAATGCTATGGCTTCACCAAATTCTTGTGACATTTAAGCCAAACTACAGAATGGGACACCTGATTCTTTTGAATTCTTGCTCCAGTGAGAATAAGTAGTCAAAGAAAGAATGAGAAAGAGAAAAGAGAGAATGGTGATACAGAGAGATAGAAAAAGATATGAAAAATCTAGAGACACATGGAGTTACAAATGGAAATGCAAAGAAAAATATATAAAAAATAGCATAATAAAAAAGAATCGTTATAATTGGGAGTCCATAGAAATACCTGTCAGAAATAGAAATGGACAGAGGAGGCAGTGTTGTGCAATAGAAAGCACATTAGACTATGAGGAAAGAAACCTGGGCTTATTCCAGCCAGGTGACCCTATGCAGGTCACTCTCCTTTCTACGCCTTGCCTTGGTTTCCTTCTCTGGAAAATCAAGCAATTAGATTGGATAACTTCCAAAAGCCTCTTCCCAGTTCTGGGATTCTAGTAGTCAACATAATGTAGTAGAAAGAACCCAGGCCTAGGAATCAGGAGACTTGAGTTTGAATTCAGTTTCAATTATTAACTGTATGATCTTAAGTAAAACACTTTATCTGAGCCTCAATTCTCTCTAATGTGTAATAGGGATGACAGTGTTCATAGTGAGTACATTAATTACCCTCAAAGAGTTATTATAAGGCTTTAAGTTCTATAGAAATGGGACTTTTTATTCTGAGTATAAATCTTTTTTTTTTTAAATCTGTTTATGGATTGCAGGTGATCCAAGGAAAGATTCATGGGAGGATAGAGTCGGGGGGATGTAGACTGCAACACATGACCTGTGAGGATCTGTGTGAGAGAAATCCCATAAAACACATCTTCGAGGAAAAGGAAACGGGCTGGTTATATCACAAGAGTGAGCAATCACAGTCCAATAACTTCACTGGTCCCCAAGAAATATCAAATGAACCAGAGAAAGACCTCCAGCACATGGGGTAAGTCCTTTGGGGAAGGATTTATGGACATGGACAAGCATGGCTCAAAGTCCAAAAAGTGTGGGACAATTCTATTGTATATTGTGGAGGGATGAGATCTGTCAAAGTATATGCTGATGGTCAGCCAGGAGTCCAAAGAACCAGTGAAGAAGGAAGGAAAGAAATAAGTGTTTCTTAAGTGCTGACCGCTGTATTTAAGGCACTGTGCCTATTGCTTTACAAATAGCATCTTGTTTGATCCTCACAACAACCCCAAGAGGTGTGTACTTTTTATTCCCATTTTATAGCTAAGGAAACTGAGGCAAAGGACTGACCCAGAGTTGCCCAGCTAGTAAGTACCTAAATACAGACATGACTTCAGGTCTTCTTGACTTTAGGCTCAGCACTCTATCCACTGTACACACATCTCCTAACAGAAAGACTATGGACTCAGAATGAAGCAATTTAAAAAAAATATATGACCAATGTAGGAATTCATTTGGCTTGACTATACATATTTATAACAAGGGTTTTGTTTTGCTTTGTTTTTCACTGGCAGAGAAGGAGAAAATACTTTTTTTTTTTGCTTGTTAAATGAAAATAAATTAAATTAAATTTTTTTAAAAAGAAAGTATATGCTAATCCTTTACAAATGGCCCCCAACCCGTATCTGCTTGGACTGGGCCATCCTTGGAGGGGTAAAGTCCATTTCATTGTTCCTCAGACCTCTACCCAGGGGACCATTGTGTTCTAGTACTGTGGACCCTTACCAAGAGGCTGATCCAAACAGCCTAGAGAAAAGCAAATTCCAGAGGGAGGGCCTGATGCTTCCACATTGTTCAATGACCTTGTGGGTTTAGGGCAGCCCTTCAGCCATGCCCAGGAGTTGGACATTTCTGGATAATCCTTAAGGACCTTAGCAAATGGTAACATTTCTTTTCATAATGTAGTACTTTTTCCTCCTTAGGGCAAATTTGCTTCTGACCTAATAACAACAACCATCATGTGCAGCCATCAGAAAGTGAAGCCACTCTCTCTTATAGATAAAGAAAAGAAGGCTTAGAAAGACTGAGACTTGCTAGAGCTCACAGGCCTGGTAGGTGTAGCAGTCAGGGTGCAAAGCTGGTTACTTGCCTTCAACTGTAACACTCTTCTAGGGGCACAGTGTTATCCAGAGATGGGAGAAGGTATGGAAGATAGAAGAAGTAGCCCTGGGCATGGGTCTTAAGGGTCTGGTCTAGGCCCCAACGCTGCTATTTTCTAATCTGAGGCAAAGTCATTTTTCCTTTCCACACCTGTTACCTCCCCAGCAAAATGATGGAATGGAGTTAGACATCTCTAAGATTCTTCCTACCTCTGACATTCTAAGTTTTACAATTTTTTTTCTTTTTTGTTGCAAACTTAACACTCATTCACAAACACAAACTGTTCAACATATAAAGAACAGGAAAGAATATTATATAAGAAACCATGAATTTCTGTTACATGTAGATTTTAAAGAAATATGTGTCATAGATATGTATGTATATATATATATAATTTAACAACCTAGTAAGAAAAATTGTTGTATTTGTTTGTATCTCTTTCTGAATCCTTTTGTTGTGTGTACTTTTTACAATGTTATATCGATGATCTTTCATTCACATATCTACCATGACCTACTACCCCCATCCTCACTACAAAGAGAAGCCTTCCTTTATAATAAATCTATATAATGAAGCAAAACAAACCAGTGTGTCTGAAAATGTGTTGATGTTCTGCATTCTAGGATTCCCTTTCGGCTTTCCATCCTCTTCAGCATTATTAGTCTTCAGATCATTTTTTCCCTGTCTTTCTCATTTCTCTCCACACCATGAAAACATGGAAAACAGCCTTCTTATTCACTGGCATTGGAATGACCTTAGATGGAATGGAAAGCCTGAATGGTGAAAGCTGCTGTTATTTTGAGTTAAGGAATTTTGATGGAAGTAGAATCTGAGCAGAGACTAACCTGGGGGAAAGTTTTGAATTTTCCCAAAGCTAGGAGTGAACAGGAAATTAGAAATTCAATGTGTGTTAAGTACCACTTGCTACATACAACACATTGTGCTAAGAGCCAAGGAGCTAAAATGATAATGGCTCTTGATAACTCTTTGATAGCACTTTAAGCTTTATAAATGTAACCCTGCAACATAAACCACTCCTGCCTTCCCTCCCTCCCCCAACATCCCTGTGAAGTACAAGAATTTTTATCTTGATCTTACAGATGAGTAGACCAAGCCTTAGCAAGCAGCAAAGCGACTTACCCAGGGTCATACTACCAGTAAAGGTCAAAGCTCTGTGTTTAACCCAGGCTACATGCACAGCCTCTGACCTCATGGAGTTTACAGACTAGTTGGAAAGATAAGACGAGTACTGAGATAACAAGAATGTAGATTAAAAGACAATAAGTACATAAGAGGAATGCAAAGTGCTATGAGATCAGAGAGCTAAGGGACACCACTTCCAGCTAAGGGAACTGGGAGACTTCATTAAGGAGGTAGAATATGAGCTGGGTCTTAAAATATGTCAACTGAGATTTGGCTGAAAGAGCTTTTCCAGACTTGTCATTCAAGAAATGCTGTGAACAAAAGTGCAGAGACCTAGGAGAACAGGATGTACTCAGGGTACAGCTACTGGTCCAGTTTGGCTCCAGCCTATAGTCTGTGAGAGGAAAGTGTGTGACATGAGACTGGAGAGGTAGGGTAGGGGTCAGATGGTAGACAGCCTTGGATGCCAGGCTCAAGAATTTGTATTTTCTCCTGTGGGCAATGGAAAAAGCAGCAAAGCGCTCACATGGTGGTTAGAAGAAGCAATACAAGGACACTCTCAAGATCTCTCTGAACAACTTTGGAATTGATTGCATGACATGAGAGATGCTGGCAAAAGACCACCCAACATGGCATACCCACATCAAAGAAGGCACTGTGCTCTATGAGCAAAGCAGAATTGAAGTAACTCAAAAAAATGCGAGATGCACAAATTTAGAGAATCTGCCCCAAATGTTCACATGGACTATTTGTGTCTGATCTGTGGTAGAGCATTCTGAGCTTGTATTGGTCTGATCAGCCACAGTTGGACACACTGTAACTTGACTCTAACATAGTGACGTCATTTTGGTCCTTTTTGAGAATGAAGGACAACAACCAAGTGTTGTTGAGCAGGGGCAGTGGCAGGATCAAGACGGATGAAGTGATAGAGACAAAGAAGTAATAGGTTTGGAGTTAGGAGGACTGAGTTCAAGCACCAGCTCTGTCAAATAAGACGCATAGGAAAAATCACTGACAACTCAGATTGTAAAATGACTTACAATGGATGGAAGTACAAACAAATAATGGTAAATCAGCACAAAATGTGACAATGTCTTCAAAGATCATTTCAGCAGCAACAAAGCAAGGAAGGATCTGGGAATGGTGATGAATACTATGGATAATCTTTTATAAGTTTTATTTAACTATAATGGAAAAAAGATGAGGATCAAAGATGGAATAGGTCTACTGCTCAGGATAGATGGAATAATAACAGAGAATGGAAAGAAGGCAGAATGACTCAACATTTGCTTTGCCTCTGATTTCTCTTATAAGGAGAATGATCATTGGACTGGGAAGAACAGAATAAAAATGGTCAATAAAGAGGTGAAACCTAAAATAAACAAGAAGATGGTGAGATCACTGAATTGCCCTCAATGAGTCTAAGACATCAGGATTGGACAAACTGTAATGCAGGTATAACCCACAATCATCTCTTCTATTTACTCTCTGAGTTACAAAATCTGGCTCAAACAACACCTCCTACATGAAGCCTTTCCTTATGCTAGTGCTCTCTCTTCCTCCAAACTATCTGGTCTTTACTTTGTATATATTTTCTTTCTATACACACATGTATAGAAATAAAATATGTATATATGTATGTGCATACGTACACCTATGTATGTATACACATACATATATGTATATGTGTGCATATATACACTATTTCCCATGATAGAACCTGAATGCAGGGACTATGTCATTTTCACTTTTGTATACCCAGTCCCTAGCCCAGTTCCAGACACAAATGCTTAATAAATACTCATTGATTGATTGGTTGGTTGAATGTGTAACTTTGGGCAAGTCATTTCCCTTTTCCTCATCTTAGTTTTTCATCTGTAAAATAAAGGCTTTGAACTAAATGTCCTCTAAGCCTTCTTCTAGCTCCAAAATTCTATGAATCACCCTTGTCAAAAAATAGAACTTCTATCATACTCGAGGTCACAATTGACTGAATTTTTTTATGCTGTGTACTTTCAGATGGGTTCCCATGGTTTTGGCAAGAGGTACACTAAATCCACTCTGAAATAACTTTTGTCACAAACACATCTATCAACTGTAATTTCCCCCATTTCTAAGGGATGCTGAGAGCACTAGCAGTGCTTGACCCTTTTCTGTGTTTTTTTTTTCAAATTGTTGACCGGCTGCCATATGGATGGCAGCTTGTTTCTCCAAGCTGTGAATGCCTCCCCTTTCTATCTTCTCTTAGCTGTCGCAAATTCTGGCCTTCTGTGTCAGGCTCCTATTTACAGAAAAAACTGATTTGATTATATCTTTCAAGCAATTATGATTTTTCTTAGAATAGCTCAGCCAGAAACATGTAATCAGAGGCACTGACTGTATGCAAAACATTTAACTGACTGAATTTCCCACCAGTGATAATAACAGTTTTCTGGGCAAAAGAAGTATATGAAACATGGTTTTCAACTAAAAAATGTGTTGAGGGAAAGGCTATTAGAGAAAGATTGATGGCTTTTCTTGGAATGAAAACATTTGGGGAGCTCCATGATAGTGGAAAGAGCTTTGGGTTTGGGGTGAGAAGGCTCCTGCCGCTTATTTTCGATGTGACCTTGAGCAAGACCCTTCCCCTCTCTGTGCTTTAGTTTCTTCCTCTGGAAAATGAGTGGGTTGGGTTAGATTAACCCTATGGCCCTGTCCAGCTCTAAATTCTATGGACCCATAAGCTTCAGGCAGGACTGTCATGGTAAGAATAATAGGTGTGGAAAACAGAAAGAATGTGGTAAGCTCCTTGAGGGCAGAGATAATTTCATTTTTGTTTTTGTCTCTCCAGTGCCTAGTACAGAGCTTGACAGATGGTAGCCACTTAATAGGAAGGAAGGAAACAAGCGTTTATTAAGCATCTACTGTGTACCAGGGACTGTGTTAAACACTTTACAAATATCATCTTATTTGATCCTCACAATAATCCTGGGAGGTAACTGTCATTGTGATCCTCACTTTACAATTGAAGAAACTGAGACAGTCAGAGATTAATTGACTTGCCCAGGGTCACACAGCTAGTAAGTGTCTGAGGCCAGATTTGGCATCTCATGCCAAATGACTTCAGTTACTGACTTCAGCCTGGTGCTCTATCCACTGCTTCTTTGTTCAATGATTTATCAATTATTGATGGAGATAACTGAATTCTTAGACTCGCTGTGTGACCAGGGGTAAGTCACTTAGCCTCCCAGTCTCCCAACTAACTCTCTAAGACTAAGTTAGAATCAAGTTGCCCATCTTTATCTTCTGAGGGATTTCCCATGTGGTTCCCAGCAGTGATGAAATCACAGGCCTAGCCTCACCCCCTGAATTATCTGAAGCACTTTTTCTTGCATTATCTTATCTGATATTCACAAATATACTATAAGAAATGTAGGGCAGCTATTCATAAGCCTTGGTCCAAAACCAAAGTTCTAAATTTACTTGTATTGAGTTCAATCTTGAAGGATACTCACAGAATGTTTTGCAGGCAGGTGGAGGGGCCTCTTGCCCCTACCCAGGATTTCCCCAAGAAACAGAATTTGGCTCATGTCTAGATCTTCACATACACACACACACATAAGATAAAAGAGCTCTCTTCTCTCATGAAAGCACTTGGACTACCAATACATCAAATATAGAACAGGCTTATTTAACCTGACAAAAGTGCAAAGTCCTCTTGATTTAAAATGTCATCTTGTGTTTGATTCCTCCCCCACCCACCCACCCAACCAGTTCCCATGGGAAAAGCACTGGGTGGACCTAGTGCCTCATAAAGGACTGTTGATTTGGGGGTAACTATGAACTGTCTCAGAACTATGACTATAGATAGAACTTTACACATTGCTATGGACTCTTCAGAAGGAAGTAAGGCATGAGGGTAGGTCTTCAAAAAAGAGGCCAAAGCAATTAATTGCCTTCCACAGTCAAGACTTCCAAGTGCCATCCCCAGAGAGATTTCCAAAATTGGGATTTTGCGCCAATGCACTCAAAGGCACCCTGGTATACCATTTTTAGGGACTTTAAATTTTTAAGTATGGGGGTAGAGTATGTGCCCAAGAGGAGTCTTTTAAGAACCTCCTGACTCCTTCTCTGGTCTCCTTAATAAAGAGGTTAGGTCTTTGATAAGGTAATAAATTGTGAATTCACTTAAACTTTACTTTTAAGAGACCCAAGAAGGATTCAATAGGACCTTCTCAGGCTCTTTCTGGGCACACTCCACATATTTATACTTCAGTATATCAGAAGAGCCATGATTTTCTCATTCCGGACAAAATCTGGCACACCTCAGTAGATGTTCTCTATGACTTAATATTTCTGAAACAATTCATCAGTTGGTGTCCAACTCTTCAGTGATGAGCCTTTCCGCACTGAGCCAGGGTGTTCTTTGGAAGACAGACACTCAGCCCTTCACTGAGCATATATTTGAAACCATTATGGTTTGGTAGGTTGGGCCAGAGTAGAGGATCACAGGCGTATAGATTCATAGGAGATTCCAAGCAAATAGAAAACTTGGAGATCAGTAAATCTAACCCCTTCATTTTTTCAGAGAAAGAAACTGCGGCCCAGAGAAGAAAAATGGCTTGTCTAAGATCCCATAGCATTGTTCTTCTGGCGTATATGGTCCTTGAGAACCCAAGATCTTTGTACCATGACAAAACATCAAAAGAAGACTTTAATCAAGGCAAATACTTTTATTCAATTTTGCAAGTGAGGAAACTAAACTACAGAGCAGTTGAGTGACAAAGGACAGAATATTTTTTAAAAATAAGGGATTTTAGTGATCATTTAGCCCAATCCTCTCACTAAAAATGAGAAGCTTGAGGCCAGAGAGGTAAAATTTTTTTATTAAACAATTTATTTATTAATTTTGTTTTCTACATTTACTTCCATAAGATTTTAGTTTCAAATTTTCTCCCCTTCCCTCTCCTTCCCCCACCCCAAGATGGTGTGCAATCTGATATAGGCTCTACTTATACATTCATATTAAGTATATTTTCACATTAGTCATAATGTAAAGAAGAATTAGAACCAATGAGAGAAATCACAAGAAAGAAGAATCAAAACAAATGACAAAAGAAAAGGAGAGCAAATAGTATGCTTCCATCTGGACTCCATTCTGGAGTGTTCTTTCTCTGGATGTGGATAGCAATTTCCATCTTGAGACTTTTGAAGTTGTCTTAGATCCTTGCGTTGCTAAGAAGAGCTAAGTCTATCAAAGTTGGTCATCGCACAATGTGGCTGTCACTGTGTACAATGTTCTCCTGGTTCTGCTCACTTCACTTAGCAACAGTTCATAAAAATCTTTCCAGGTTTTTCTGAAGTCTACCTGCTCATCATTTCTTATAGCACAATAGTATTCCATTACATTTATATACCACAGTGTGTTCAGTCATTCCCCAATTCATGGGCATTGCCTCCATTTCCAATTCTTGGCCACCACAAAGAGAGCTGCCATAAATATTTTTGTACATGTCGATCCTTTTCTCATTTTTATGATCTCTTTGGGATACAGATAGAAGTGGTATTGCTGGGTCAAATGGTATGTACAATTTTATAGCCCTTTGGGCATTGTTCCAAATTACTCTCCAGAATGGTTGGATCAGCAAGAGGTAAAATTTTTTACCAGGATCACATAAGGCAGTAATGACCCATAGCTTCTGATTATCAGATTAGAATACTTTCCCCTTGTACCACACTATTTAATTCAGTATTTCAAGAGATGTGTGATATCATCAATTTAAGCATTCCCTTCAACAGAACTATTATTATTATTATCATCTTACTATTATCATCAATTTGGGGCAAATTGTTCAACCTCTCTGAGTCTCAATGTCCTTGTCTATAGAATTAGGAAGTTAGATGATATGATTTTTAAAGTTTCTTCCAGCTTGGAAAACTCAAGATACTATGAATGAATTTGGATAGAGATATTGAGAAACTTCTTCTACTGATGCCTGTGTGATAGAGGAAATGACCAATCAGGGCCCAGCTCTTAAAACCTGTTCTGTTTGCAGTGTGTTCAGATTCTACCCCAGTGATTTGCTGAGGACAACAAATTTTTAACGGAAGGTTTAGTGAGTGGGAAGAATGTAATGGAGAGCAGGCCAATAAGGGTCCAGTGCCTAAGTTCGTGCTCTGTGTAACCCACACTATAAGGGACAAATTCAAGCATGGTCTAAGCAATGGGCTCTCATTGACCAGTCCCCACCATTACACTTGCATAAAAATAGAAATGAAAAATATGACAGTCAATTAACAATAACAACCATAAAATTTTACCATGTGGCAGTCACTGCTCTATTCTCAGAATTTCCAACTGTAGCTCCTCTGCTTAGTTTTAACTCTACGAAGGCCATGCTTCCCCCAAGATAAGCTCATCACCAGAAATCTCATTGTCATGGTGACTGCTTCAGCTATGGTACTCAACACCTCCTCAGTGGCCTCAATTGCTTCTCGCCCCTCTGATTTGAGGGTTGGAGGGCAAAACAAAGAACCCCTCCCAGCCTCACTTTATAGAGGGCTCAACTTGTCATTTCTCACCTTCTGATCTCCTTGGTTTCCACTCCCCCATTGTTTTCATGCCCCAACACTGGGTATCCTCTGGTGCCTTACCACCTTCAGCTTCCTTTTATATACTGTCTTCCCCCATTAGATTGTAAGTTCCTTGAAGGCACAGACTGTCTTTCTTATTATTTTTACCCCCAGTGCTTAGCCTGGCACACTTAATAAATGTTTATTGACTATTGGTTGAACACTGCATTTCCCTTCTGTTCTCATTTGGGCCTAAATGTAGCCCAAATCATATTGTCTCTTTCAGCAGTTCAATAGTTTCAACATTCATTCATCCGATATCCAATAGATGTTTATTAAATACCATCCTAGTAGGTATGTAGTGCTGTGCTTTGTAAATTCAGGGTATATGTAGTCTGGACACAGTCCTTGGGAAGCTAGGACTTTATACACTGATGATCTACGGGAGCAAGTTGATCACTGAAATGACAACCAAAATAGGCTATGTCTTTGAACAGGGGGGCAGTTTCAGTCAATTAGTATGTAAGGATTTAATGTGAGGTTTCCCCCACCATGAGTCTAAAATATCCAGATAATTGCAGCCAGTCAGACCAGAGAATTGTGTCAAACCCAAAGTCCTTAGAGAAATGAACCAAAGAAATGGCCAACAGATTTGTGGAATGTCAGAGCTGGAAGTGACTTCAGAGCACAGCATGGTACAACTAGAAGTAACCTTAGAACATAGAATGTCACAACTGGAAGTGATCTTAGAACAAACCTCCCCTCAATGATCTTTTCTGAGAGCTCTCCTAGCCCATGTGTCTGACTTCCATTCTCTCTCTCTCTTCAAGCATCATCCTTGCTTCCTGCAAATGTGTCCAGCTTTGCTCCCATGCTTAAAATATCCATACTCGACCCTACCATTTCCTCAAAGTCCCACTATCTTTCCTCCTCCCCTTCACTGCAAAACTCCTAGAAAGAGTAACTAACCTATATTCTGTGCCTCAGCCTTCATTTCCTCTCCACCCACTCATTTCCCTTATAATGTGACTTCTGACCCCACCACTTGACTGAAACTGCTCCCTGAAGCTTTGCTCAGGCTTTTTCAACTGTCAAAACTGATGAGCTTTTCTCAGGCATTATTCTCCAATCCTCCTCTGTAGCTTTTTACACTGTCTCTATCCTCTCCTGGATACTCTTCTCTCTGGTCTTCCCTGACATTGCTGTCTCTTGGTTTTCTTCCCACTTAAATAACTCACTCCTCAGGCTCCTGTAATGGTTTACCCATCTTCCTTCACTTGAGGGTGGGTGTTGGCCCAAGGCTTTATCCTAGACCCACTTCTCTTTCCTCTGTGCTTTTTTCCTTAGAGATCTCATCATCTCCCATGGGATCATTTTTCATCTGGACATAAATAATTCCCAAATCTGTATACCCAGTCTTTCTCTCTTTCCTAAGTTCAGTCCCACATCTTGACCTGAATGCCCTGTTAACATCTCAAATTCAAAGTAGCCCAAATGAAACTCCTCTCTCCTCACCACTGAAATGCATCTCCACTCCAAACATCCTTATTTCTTCTGAGGACACCACTACTCTCCCAGTCACCTAGATTCATAACCTAGACTCTTCCTCCTCCCTCACACTCTATATCCAATGAGTTGCCAAACCTTGTTGCTTCTACTGCTTAATGTCTTTCACATCTCTTCCCTTCTCTTCATTTACACAGCCACCATCCTACCTCTCTTGGACAAATTGCAGTAATAGCCTCCTAATTGGGCCCCTTTATTGAGGCCTCTCCTCTCTCCATCCATCTTCCACATAGATACCAAAACAATATTCCTAAGGCTTGGTTCTGACCATGTCATCCCCATGTACTAAAACCTTCAAAGACTCCCCAATGCCTGTAGGGTGAAATAAAAACTATTTGGTCTGATGTTTAAGGCCCTCCAAAGTCTGGGTCCATTCTACATTTCCAACCTTATTTGATATTATTTCCTTTAGCATACTCCAGACCAAGCTAGAATAGATGTTTCCTGATCTCAACATTCCAATTCCTGACTCTCAGTCCACAAGTATTTATTAAGATCTTATTGCTTGCTAAGTATGAGGGATACAAATAAAGACTGAGAAAAACAACTAGGGAAATCGGGGAAGACTTCATAGGAGAGGTACTCAAACTGAGCTTTGAAAAAACAAAGAACTGAAAAAAGAAACTGTGGTAGCTAAATATTCAGGGGAGCAGAGATGAGGAAGGCTTGTATTTCATGGATGGGGGACAGCTTATATGAATTTGCTAAGGCAGTCACCATCCAACAACCAACTCTTTCTGTGCCTTGCTTATGATATTCCATCTCTGACTTTCTGTTAGTGTTTTCTTTCTCCTCGAATTATTTTGTATTTACTTATCTACTCAAAATAGATGTTGTGTCTTTCAAGTAGAATGTGATCTGCTTCAGGATAGGGACTGCTCTGCTCCTATCTTTACATGCTCAGTATGATTAACCCACTACCTTTCACAAACTGGACCCTTCCCAAATTCTTGTTGTGTTGACTTAGAACTGTAAGAGACCATAATAGAACATAAACTGTCAGAGCTAAAAGAAACCTTAAAGCATGAAACACATACTAACTGAGGGCTGGAAGGGCTCTAAAAGGCGGAAAACATGAAGTATTAACTCTGGAAGGAATCTTAGACATAATCTAATCTAGGACTTCTTAACCCCCTTTATGCCATGGGATCCCTTTGGCAGCCTGGTGAAGCCTATGAACCCCTTCTTAGAATATTATTTTCAAATGTATAAAATAAAATTCAAAAGATTCCAAGGGAAATGAATTATATTGAACTAGTTTCCAAAAGTTTTTTTTTTAATAAATACCCAGACTCCATGTTAAGAGTTCCTAATCTAGCCAACCTTCTAACTTTACAGATGGAAAAAATCAGGTCCAAAGAGGAGATATGAATTGCCCTTATCACTAACATTCTGCAGATGATTTGGGATGAAAGAAAGCTATAACTCCACTCTGTTTTGTAACAGGTACTCTCCTTTAAACCAACAAGATGCCAGATGGGATCATAGACAGAAGCAGTCATTGCATTCAAGGATCCCAGAGCCTAAGGGTGACTGGCTGTCCTGGAGGGCTGTGTTGCAACCTGTGTATTTACTGTGTTGAATCTCACCTCTTTCGGGGCCCCAGTATCAGTGCTTTGAGATCCTTTTTGGCAGGGATCTTCATGTGCTATCTTCTCACACGAGGAGGGCTGCTCCTCCCCTTTCTTCAAGGGGTCTCTGTACGGGCAGATCAGGTTGCCCCAGGGCCTTGGCAAACAAAAGGTTTGCGTGGGCGCCCAGC